AAACAAAAATGGATTAAAGAAGAAAGTAGGAAAGAGTACAGTATTTTATATAAAATAAATAGCTGGCTGAAATGCTCATTTAACAATGTGCATTTATCAAATTCAAGCATGCAGAAGTGGATGAATTTGTAAAAGTATGTGTTCTGGAACTGGCAGCTCTTATTGCAGCAACCAGCTCTGGGCTAGCTGTAAAACTTCATTGCTTAAGAAGTTATATGTAATTGATTCTTATTTTATACTACGTGTGCTGATCACACTCCCTTTGTCTGGGATATTGAGAGTTCCTGAGTAGATGATTTCACAGACTTGCTTGGAGTTTTCTGGAAGGCACTCAGTGATATACAGCAATTAATATTGGAGAGAATATGCAGAAGACGCTGCAGTTTTATTGATATATGGTACCTGTTGATTAATGCTTTTATTAACATAATATTCAGCATGATTTTGAATATTTAAATAGATACATCTGGTTTCATCTGCCCCCAAATATACCACATCCTAAATCGTTTAATAATGATGATATTGTCCATTCAGTCGAGTCTTACTGTTAGCAATTCAGTGGGCCAGGTCTTGCACTATTTCTTTGAGTTTTTCTATGCTCTGGTTGGTGTCAGGTCTGATAATGTCCAGCCACAATGTTAGGCTTGATTTCATTTTACTCCTAAATCATTTAGTGGTCTTAATTCTTTTTTTTTTTATTCTGTTTCCTTTAAGATTTGTAATTTTTCAGTCTGAATTTGGAATAGCAAAATCTGGCAAAATCTAGATGCAATTTCCTGGACAAATACAGATGTCCAGATAATCCAATTCTGGGTAGAAATTGCAAAACACTTGGAATTATAGCTCTCATGTTTAATTGAAGAAATTCCATTCACATTATATGTAAAAGTAGCTGTATATATTGCTTGCATTATCCCTGTACCAAAGATTTGCAGACATAGTAAATGCTGAGCTTAACACATAAAATTTCTGCTAACCCCAGGGAACATTTTAGTTTTCCTTCATAATATTGCACTTTTTACATTTTATTTTTAATCCTGAAAAGTAAAGCATGTAACAAATTGTAGCAACTTGTATTCAATATTTTAGCAAACTTGGTATGTGCGGATATGCTATAACTTTTTCTACTGTTTGTTTAAAAAAGCCATGCCTTTTTTCAAGCTTGTGTTGCACTCATGCAAAATTCAGGCTGCTTAACTGAAAAGTGCAAAGCTACCATAATTGTACAAAGTCCAAAGTACTTCTATTGAAAGTATGCGCAGCCCTAATATGCCACATTTTTATATGTAGAAAAATAGTGTTGATTTAATGAGTGTGCTTAGTTGGAACTTAATGCTTTTTTTTAATTTTGGGAGGATGTCTAAGAGCAAATGTATCTTAGATTGGATTATAAATTTCAACACAAAAGTAGATATGAAAGAGAAAATACCTATGTTTGGAAAACAAATTTGCTGCTTGTGTCGGGAGTAAAAACTTTCCTTTTGTTTTAATTGCATTTTAATGAGGGTATTTTTCTTCTTACATTGTTCAATAATTAACAGCTTGAGCCATTACCTAGTAGATTTTTGACACTTTTTGATACTTGCAGTTGACAGTAATAAAGTGCACATAAATTTTGGACTCATTCAAACAGGCTTTAGCAGACATTCTTGGGATTATTTTGGATCATAGTTTAAGAAGCCATAGCATTAGTCGGTCATAATAAAAATATGGTGGGAAATGCTGCCTTAGTTCCAAACATGAATACTGTAATTTCAGCAGATTATTTGCTGATAATTTTGCTTAGAGCAGACTAATTTCAATAAATGGGACTTCAGTCATGGCCAATTTGGCTTTTTTTTCACTGAGTCAACGCTAAGCAAAGGGAATAATGAAAACTTATAGACATGCTGCATAAGATTATGTGAATTTCATCGATACTTCTCAGAATGTAGGTAATGGGGTTAAATATGCATGCAACTCAGTTACAGTTTAAATAATGGTGTTGAAAATTCAAATCTTTCCGTAGATATGCTGCCGGTCAGTGAGGGCACATGGGGTGCATGAAAAGCGCTGAATGGGTCAGGTGCATGGAAGTGCAGTGCAGATTGCTAAGATGTGAGGGATGAGGTGCTGTGTGGTTTGGGCATGCAAGAATGCTGCACAGGTCATGCAGCGGGCAAGGGGTGTGTAAGAGGTGTCATGGGAGTCAGAGTGTGTAGGATTGTGACAAGGGTTGGGAAGAGTGTGTGAGTAGCTGATGCAGCAGAAGCTCAAGTGGAGGAGATCAGACTTCACCCAACTGAAGGTTTCAAACATATAGATATGAGAGTTTTAGTGGTGGTATGTAGGTAGGTAAGTAGGTAGGTAAGGTGGGATGGGTGGACAGATGGATGGATGAGTAGCGTGGTGGCCTAGTAGTGAAGGTGCTCGCCTTCCACTCTGAAGGTTGAGAGTTCAGTCTTACGTAGTGGCAGATATTTTTCTCAAAGGGTGCAAAGAAAACATATTTGCTGTGAACTCCGCATGGCATCAGGATGGGCATCCGGCCAATAAATAATCAGCTTTATCCAGTTGCCCTACTCTATCCTGAATTAAGGGATTACAGGCTTGTAAAAAGGGAATAGATACTGTAGATAGATAGATAGATAGATAGATAGATAGATAGATAGATAGATAGATAGATAGATAGATAGATAGATAGATAATTACATTCTGGCTTGCTAAACTAATATACTTTTCTTTTACTAACAACATTTCTGATATTAAGGAAAAATGCAAAACTATTTAGATCTTCTAACACAGGGATGTCGAACTCAATTTCATTGAAGGCCGCATCAGCATTGCGATTGCCCTTGGGGGGGGTGAGTGGGTGTGGCCAGAGTGGGTGCAGCCTACTGGGTGGGCGTGGATGGAGTAGGTGTGGCCTACTGGGTGGGCATGGCCAGTTCTACATCATTCGCGTCAAGGGTGCCTGTGGGGGCCTGGGCAGGAGTGGGACAGATCTGAGGGCCTCTGGCAGAAGGGGGTGGGACAGGGGCAAGTGGCAAGGCATGGTCCACCAGGGCAAGTGCCAAGATGGCCACCACAAAATTGTACATTGGCTCCCGGCTGGCCTGGGCCAGGCCAAGGCAGCGGGGGCCGTTCCCTCACTGTTTCCAGGATGGCTTCGCGGGCCACATGAAACCACTTCGCGGGCCGCATCCGGCCCCCGGGCCTTGTGTTTGACATGTCTGTTCTAACAGATCCCTGTCTCTGTTAAGGATTGATTCTTCAATGGAAAAATCCCATTTTTTCCCATTAGGACTATTGTATCTGGGTTGTAAAAATCCAGATCACCACTAGATGCCAGGAAACTATCTCTGTTGCCATGTATAGTCATCTGGATTTTTGTAACCCAGTATGGAAGCCCAAATTACTGCTTGTATAAATTCCCCATTTTGTGAAATAAGAGTTGAATTACAATAATGCTTGTTGCTAAATATAGTAACATTTGTTGCTAAACATAGAACAGATGACCCTGCTCAAGCAGAAATGTTTTTCAGTATTAAGAAGCTGGTGTGATTAACAAATGTCTTCTTATTTGTCTTATGTATTAGGGATAGTTGCAGCCATTTACTCTCAGACTTTATTTTGAAAAGAGTGCAGAGATTTGAATGGCGTAGTGTAGAATGGAATGATGCCTGGTTTGGAAAGTAACAGACTTTATCAACTGTATGCAAGTGCACTTTTACTTTTCTTAGTTCTCTCTCTTGATTCTGTTCTAGGTTGCCCACAATTATGTGGAAAGGATGTGAGCAAATGTGGGTGATGGTGAATACACCACCACACCCTGGCTTCAAAACTCCAGACCACAAATAAGCAGAGACCTACAGAAAACATGAAGGCTTTTCTGTTAACAGGCTGACAGGGGAATGACACTATTGGTACAATTTACTTCATGGGCACAAGGCTTGGCTAGTCATGCTTATCAATTCTAATAGTTTCCAGTACTTGAAATCTTCTGTGACAATACACTTTATTGTTTCGGTGAAACTCGACTTCAAACTGAATTTCATATTCCTCTAACGGATGTACAATGTTGTGAAGTGTACATAACACATTTTGCAACTGTCGTTTGCAGCAAAGGCTTCTTTACGCTTGAGCAGTTTCTCACTTACTACTGAAAAGGGGAGATGTGTGTACAATAACAGTTATGTTTCGTAGGGAGCCAGAAGTGAACTTATTCTCACTAATGCCAAAGGACAAAACTGTGGAGTCCTTGGTGCTCTCCGAGTTTCGTTGGGTTTTCTTGCAGACGTTTCATGACCAACTGAAGATGTTACTTAGTTGGATAATGAAACGTCTGCAAGAAAACAAGCTCAGAGGGTATCAAGGACTCCACAATTCAACCTTGAGCTACTGGTTAACACAGCCCACCAGTTTGGGTTGTCAAAAGTAGGGAGAAAAAAAAACCCCTGGTCTTTAGTTCGCCTCAGTGGAAAAAGAAAGCAGAAGCCACGGTCAAACCCAGCAGCTTTTTCCTTAAGAGCACTTTTGCAGCCAAGAAATGATCTAAATGGGAGGAAGAAGAATAAGGACATTCTCTGCATACCTTTCTAATATTACTGGCATTTCAAGCTACGTCGCTTAAAAAGGCGAGCGAGTGGCATGCCGTATAGCCAATCGCGTGCCAATTCTAACATTCACGAACCCGAGGGCCTCGTATAACCCCAAGCAACAGTCTTGTGATCGGGCGCGGCCCCGACGCCAGAACTCTATATCTCCTGCGCGAGTCCGGTAAATCACGTGCTGGGGGCGAAAGGAAGAGGGCAAGGAGTAGTCCGTAGGCGTGTCTAAGGAGGCGGTGAACTCGAGGGCTGACGCTTGGCTAGAACTCTGCGCTGATAGGCTAGCGTTAGGCGCCTCCCGCACGCGATTGGCTCTGCCTCTGCGAGGGAGGTGTGGACAGGTATTGGGAGGCCGTTGAGGAGGCGGCGGCGGCGGCGGCGGCGAAGGAGGGAGAGAGAGAGAGGGAGAGAGAGGGAGAGCCAGAGTAGGATGGGGCAGTGAGGGCGGCTGGAGACGCCGCGGAAAGTCGAATATGGCGCGGAGCAGTCGGGCTCTTGGCAAGGCTCTCGTGGAGAGGTTGGCAGTGCCTTCGCGTAGAGTAGCGCTCAGGTACGGCGAGAGGGAAGCTCAGGTTGTCTGGAACTTTCCCCCCCCCCACACACACACTCCACCCGCCACTTTTCTCTCCTCGGGCTCGGGAGAGCTGTAAGGCACGCAAGTTTCGTTGGGCGGCTCAGCCGCCTCCGCCGCCTGTTTCAGAGCCTCCTTCCTTTGCCTGGTCACGAGCGCCGAGGGTGGTTCCCGTCGCCTTCGCTTTTCCTTCCCCACCCGTCACTGTCAAGAGTTCCTGCCCGCTTCGATAGCCCTGCCGAGGCGCGGTTGCTTTCCTGGGACCTTCTCCACCGGCTCGGAAAAGCCACAGGATCCGCGATTGGGGCACTCTTGAGGAGCTGGTTGCCCCCGCTGGCTTTCGTTCTCCCCCCTCAGTTCTGCCCTTGGTCCAGAATAGGCCCGGAGACTAGTTTTTTTGTCCAGAGATGGGCAACACTCGGGCCTTTTATACAGAGCATTCCTCTTATGCTGGATGTCAGTTTAACTCCTTGTAGGATCCTATCACTAATTTTATTAACTTAATAGCCAACTTAATTGTAATGGATGGTGGTAGACTAGAGTGACAAAAGACTCCTGTTGCTTGCCATGATAGATTATTGTTGATTTCCAGCTAAAATGTACTGATAAACACTTTTGCAACATATTCTCTATCCCTGTGATATATAATTTCTTGGTTAATTGTTAATAACTTAATAGCCAACTTAATTGTACTGGATGGTGGTAGAATAAAGTGACAAAAGACTCCTGTTGCTTGCCATGATAGATTATTGTTGATTTCCAGCTAAAATGTACTGATAAACACTTTGGCAATAGAACACTTTGGACATTTTCTCTATCCCTGTGATATTTAATTTCTTGGTTAATTGTAGGAAGTATCAATGGTCTTGTAAGGTAGTCATCAGATTTTTAGTTCATTGTGTTATTAGTATGCCTGTGTCTCACAAATGGATAAAAGGAATTACATATCTTTTTATATATTTGCATGCTAAGTTTAGTTCATCATTTTAGTCTTTCATTGATAAAGGGGCAAATTCCCTCTTCCCTAACTCTTCTAACTTTGAGCTGGTCTAAATGATGTGACACTCTTTTTTGTAGACTTCTTTTCTTTTTATGGCCCACAAATACTTCTTTCAATCCAATTATTCAAGAAGTACCTGGCTATCTGGTGACTTACACTGGTATATTGTGTGCTACCAACAGTATTCTAAAGCAGAATAAATACATAGTATTGTCCTTCAGCTCTTACTCTTTGGAGCTGTTTAACGCCTTCGTATTTTTCTAAGAATTTAGATATGTTTTATAGATGATATTTTAAAAATTCTATTCACCCTTCAAATCCCAGACTTGAAAATGATAGGGAATATATTAGAAAATGCATGCATACTTTTCTGTCAAAGGTAATGATTCATATTGAAAAGTGCTATATTTAAAAGAAGTAAAAGTTATATGTATTATAACTGCCTTGGGTAAGAACAGGTACTTAATTGTGTTATCAAGCTAATCAGCCATCAAGAGAATGACATCAAATTGAATTTTTGTGATATTACTATGAAAACAGTGTCCAAAATTACATCTCTAAGTTTCTCTCTTATGTGTAACTTTGACTTGCTTAAATTTCTGTTTTGTTTTGTTTTGCTGTTTCCATTTAATATGTAGTTAGGAACTGCAAGCCAGACCAGCATTGAGAGTGTATTGGCATAATCTTTAGACTTTCCATGTACCCCTAAATGAATAGCATGTGGAATGGGGCACTCTTGTTTTTTTTATTGGGGAAACAAGTATTGTATGCCTTTCTTTGCTGGCTACATATGGTATAACTGCAATAGGCTATTGGACACATTCAATATATGGCTGAACTGATGGCTCCCCCAGAGGTCATACTCTTCCCCCTATAAATTATTCCCTATGTGCTAAGTCTCACTTTGCTCTCTGTTAGTTGTAAGTATTAGATGGGTCATTTGGCAGAGAACATGTGTACATGTCCTGCATTGAAATATGTGACAATCTGTAATTCAGTATGCAAATTTAATCTGGAATATTCTTTTGAGTCTGGTAATGATTAATAATTTTTACAACTGAAGAAAAAATATTAGTTTTAATCACACTTTCCCACTTGCTTTCCTTATACTTGTTAATCATAATACTTTGAGGAATTAGACCTAAAACCTATCTAGCACCTTGGAAAAAAATCACACATAAGAATACCTTAACAAAATAAAGCAGCAATTCTTTCCATATCAGATTACTCTGGTAGGGGAAAGTTTGCTAATTTGTAAATCTTTATCAAAGTAAAGATATTTTCTTACTCATATTGCCTGTGTTTTGACTGATGAAGGCATGGACCTTCTGATTCTCTCAAGATCTTATCTGTTCATAAAATATTGTATTAATCTCTCCATTAGGTATTTTTCATCTCAACACGAAGTTTGGAAAACACAGTGGTTGGCTTGAAGAACAAAAAATTATTTTTGGGCATTGTACCAAAATTAAAATACTGATATTTCAGATATTCACGGTTTATGATTTAGAATGGTAAAATATAGTAATTGATATTTTGAGAGTGTTGTTTTATATCTGATCCTAGAATATACCATACTTTCCGATTTTTATTGAGGAACTTAAGTCTCAGTAATTCTGTATTGTTTTTCTTCTATCTACTACTGCTGTGTGCATTGGCATACATGAAGACTTTAATGATCTTCACTTTTCCTATGTTTCCCATAAAAACTCATAACTTAATATATTTTATTTATATATACCGGTATATGAAAGTCAAACTTTAAAAACACTACATTCATAATTGGGATAATACATGCTTGAATTAAACGTGGATAAAGTATGAACCTCACGTTTTCATATTCTTTTAAATTGCAGTATTTAAAAATTTCTATCCTAGAGTCATGCATACAAATGAGATTTATGGGTATAATTAGTATTTTCTTTGTTTTGGTAACAGCACCATGAGCTGCATGCAAACTCTTGTTTATTGCCTGTCTCCATCCCAGATGGATATCAAAGTTGAACAAGCAGACCTAAAAAGGACACAGTAGGCCCCTCCATCAGAGATATTATCTCTCCCTGAACATCCCATACACCCGCTAAACTAGACAGTAACTTGCATTTTCAGTCATTAGAATTACTTGTTAAAAGCTTCTTCAGTTAAATGGAGTAAATAGTTCTTGCCACTGTTAATATATCTGTAGATTATTTACAGCTGTTCCTCAGAGACTAAAATGATACAAACATAACGTCATATAATCATCATAGTCATATCATCATCTCATGATGACATTATTTTTCCAAAACTGACATTTGAGATACAATGAAGGCTAGGGTAAACATTTCCTACAAAATGTATTCCTCTTTCTGTTGCAAAATTTTCCTCCTTTTTATTTATGAATTATAATTCATAATCGCTGAAGCAGAAAAATAAAATTCTTTGGAATGCTTATTTGTGGTATGATTTAAAGATAGTTATGCTTACATTCAATCAAGGAAATACATCCTTTAATCTCCTACATAAAACTGTTTGCTAATTGAGGAAGGTCAAGTCCATTTTTAACTTCTCTTATGACTTCTTGATTCTAATGTTACAGTACATATTGATAAAGACTTTTGTGATTGAAAATAAAAGTGCAGCCTTTGATTTAGTTAATAAGAGTTTCATAACTTCAATAATTGCAAAAATTAAACCACTTTTAAATTAATTGCTTTGCCTCCTTTGAAAAGCGGCCTGACAGATTTGTTTATCTGATGTTCTGGTCAGTGTTACTTTCTGTTTAATTTTCCAATCAATAGTGTTAAATGATATATCTCTGATTAAATACTGGACATGTTAAACTCTTAGTTTTAAAAGCTGTTTGAATAATTTTAGTGCATATTTGGATACTAATATATTTAATATTGACTATTAGGAGATAAGGGAAATGCAAGCATTTTAGAATTAATATAATCAATAAGGAGATTATTTATATGCTTCTAAACAAATTTGTAGAAGCAGTAGGGAATCGGATATGATAACTGAGTGAACTTGTCAATCAGATTCCAGTCTGTCAGCAGAAGTGAAAAAGGATGGTTTTTCTTTCTCTGCAGCTCCTCCCATGCCCATCCAGATTTGCTTTGAAGACTAGGGTTCCTGCAGTTTCTTTTTGAACAAAAGAGTTCAACGGGAGTATTTTTAAAATAAGACTTGGCAACCTATGGCTTGTGAACTGGTTACAGCCCCAGGGCATTCCCTGAATGAATAGGGGAAAATATTAAAAAGGCCTTTTATTTTTTGTGCAGTATTTCAATAATAGTTAAAGCATCCATTTGACCTTTAAAATCCTCTTTAAATGTAAAAAAAAAATCCTAACTTTTTGGTATTGTTTTTTGTAATACCATAACTTTCTGTACCTTCCAGGAAGGGCACAAAGGGAAGGATCCAAGCTGAAAAATGTTTCCTGCTCCTGTTTCAAACACATACAGTAACTCTATTCGAAGTGCTATTGCAGGAGCAGAACTTTGCGTGGATATAGTAGTTTATTATAAGATTACCATTAGCAAGAAATTGTTCATACCTTCATAGCTACCTCTGAATATACAGATAGCTAAATCTAAGCAAGCAGCATTTCTTTCAATGAAGTATATGGCTATAGAAGAAAACGTTAACCAAATCAAGTATTTTATAATAGAAGACCCATGCCTTTTCTGAATACATTGATAAGTGCCAAAGAATATTTGAAAGGAAAAAGGACTTAAAAATATTACAGGTAGTTCTAACAGTCTGTATCTATATAGTTTATATCCTCGTTAAAAACCTAAGAGCCTTCAAAAGAGAAAAAATTAATACTCTTAATAAAAATATTTTCAGCTCTCTGAGTCATGTTTTATAAATGTAGAAGAAAGGCTCGATATATTTGATGCTTGCCATCCTGACAAGAAACTTGCTTTTCAAATATATGAACCGAGTAGTGTGTGGCCTCAGATTGATTCAGAGCCAAATTTTAAGAGGGACAGCTTTTATATTGTACTGTTGCCAGGTTCTCTCATGACTGAGATATATTTAGCCTGTCCAAGGCATAAGTTAACCTAATCCTGAGTTTGATTGTCCTTGTGTTACTCTTTATTTGTTTCCTTATTTTGTTGGCTCTTCTATACTGTGTTAACCAGATGCCTGTTCTGATGAAAATATTTAAATCATTGCAGGCATTTGACTTCTTGGGAAATATTGGTGAGCAAAACCCCACTGCCACAAATATCAGCAAAAAATTGTGCCTTTCCAAGAAGGACTTACTTCAACTTTACTGCGCCATTCGGGAACAAAAGGAAAGAATATTCAGAAAGAAGGATTATAGGGTTTGTATGAGAAAAGTACATTGTAGAATTACACAGAAATAGACACTAATGGATTGCATAATGAAAACAGTCAAGTTCTCATTTTCTATTGCTTTTGTTCACATTGTTTATATAGTTAAAACTGATGCTTATCTATTTCATTCTGAATGTCCTAAATTTCACACTTTAATTTGAAATTATTTAAGCATCCCTTAAATTTTACTTAATGTGTTTTAATAAATTATATACTGCTGTTAATCCACTGTAAACAGTTTACAGTCCTACTGTATAGAAACAGGATTAAAATTCACAGGATACGATCTACAGGGCAGTGCTACATTTGAGGAAGCAAACACAGGATTTATAGTTCTTTGCTTACTCCATAATTCTAATTTGAGATTTTGTTAGTTATTTGTGAATGGGATATTTTATTCTTTTCTTGAGATAATGATGTAGTATGGCAGTGTATGTAGTGTAGTGTAGTGTATTATCGCATACAGTTAGGTATTGATATTCTTTGGGTAGGTTTGTCAACATTGTTGAAGCAGCCCTGCCTCATGATGTTGGGGAATTTACTGTGCTTCCTCCACAGATATATGTGAATGTATGTTTTTATTGTATTAGGGATAGCAGGATAGGAATGTAATAGTTCCAATGGGCCTATCTGGGGGGTATTTAAAACCTGATTCGAAGTTCTGACAGTTCTGCCTCCCAGCCACATGACAACACTTCAGGCATTAGGCAACTGAGCTAGATTTACAGCTGTTTTAAGTATCCCATTGCCATGTAACTGTGTTTTGCAGAAAACCAAATTGACTTGGTTTTTAACAAAACTGACCCCGTAGCAAACCATTTGTTTGCTTAACAGCCACCACAAAAAAGGTCGTAAGATCAGTTCTGTCACCTGACCAACCTGCTTTATGATTGTCATATGAACATGATGGGCAGGCTCTATTATGGTCATAGCTCACAGACTGCCTTCACTATTTATGCATTCTTCTGACTCATTATTGTACATGATATTTGTTTTTATTCCCCAAAGCTATTGAAGAACCTTAAACCAATCTTCAGAGCCTATTAAAAATGAATTTGAGAATTAAAGGCAGGGGTGCAGTCCACTACTCTTCAATATGTTGCCTGAGAGTCTCATATTGGCTTACAAAAGAAATAAGCTGTATAAAGTTTTAAAGTTATTGCTTACTTATTACCTACTTTAACTCTCAAATTCATTTTAATAGGCTCTGAAGATTGGTTTAAGGTTCTTTAATAGCTTTGGGGAATAAAAACAAAAACCATGTATAATAATGAGTTAAAATTATGACCCCAAGTGTTTGTTATACCGTTTAATCAACAGCAGAATATCTACTATTTAACAATTGTATCTTTCTATCAAGAGTTTTTATCTCAAGGAAGTCAAATGCAGTTTGCAAAAGTTTTGACTAAAAGCTTATATTTTCTACTTTCCACCCGATATGTTTAATTTTTGGAATTAAAATACAGTTAAATAATCCTTAATATCCTTGTGTTATAAGGAAATAGTCAAGACTGAGAGGAGGTTGGTAAAGATTACCCAAAGAGTACTTTGGCTCTTTTCTTCTAAATCCGTTGGGGCTAAGACTTGTGCAAAGGAAAAAGTATGAACAGTTTGTTGTTTTCAGAGCAATTAAATGCTGGAATGACAGGCAGGATTGTGTCCTTGAAGTACTGTACAACCTTGAGTGAGAAAGCTAGCTGAAATTCCATATTTGTTTATAGAATGATTGGAACAGTATTTAAAGCAAAGGGAAGTAGAGAAATAAAATAGAATTTAGTTACATATCTCTAATAATTTTATTTTTCATTTTTCATGTTTACTAGGTATTCTATGCAAGAAATGTATGATGTGGTAGCTGTTGTAAGCGAATACAAGAACTTTGTTCCTTGGTGCAAGAAATCAGATGTATTATCCAAACGTTCAGGATACTGCAAAGCTAAATTAGAAGTAGGATTTCCTCCTGTGTTGGAAAGATATACATCTGTTGTTACACTAGTCAGACCTCACTTGGTTAAGGTAATGCATATTTGTTGTTATATGTAAACTGCCACACTTTTCAATATAGAATATAAGAAGTCCAAGAGTTGCCAGTAGTCAATAGGGGATCTTATCTAGCCATGTTTTGACCAAGAAATCTTGGGCTGGCTCTCCCTCTGATTACTCTTCTCCCTGTAAATCTCCTGGATATAACTTATTGCTTGGGAAGATGTTTGGATGTATGTAACTAGCACTAAACTGGAAGAGGGTGCAGAGGGAAAGCTGTAGAAGCAGGACTGCTGTAAAGAGTAAGCAGTATATTTACTGAGTGTATATGTAGTTTATTTATTTATTTATTTAAATGTTCAAAATGCCCAATAGTCTAAGCTGTCTGAGTGTTTTACACCAAAAAAAGAGAAAGAATACAATTTGAATTACGATTATATCCAATAAAATCAAATAAAATACTAAATAAATACACCATATAATCCAGGTAGCAGTAAGGGGGTCATAACAGTCTAAAACAACATGAATTAATATATAAGTTAAAATACAATTAAAATATGTTTTAAAAGCCTGTGAAAATAAAATGGTCTTCACTTGTCACTGAAATAATGTGAATGTCAGATGGGCCTATCTGAGGAAACAGCCTAAGAAATTGCCCTCCCTTGTAGAATCCCATATTTCCTCCCTTGGTGGGGGATCTGGAGGGCCTCAGAAAATCTTACGGTCCAGTTTAGGTACATACTAGAGAAAGGTGCTCCTTCAGAGAATCAGATCCTAAGCCTTGAAGTCTTTAAAGGTCAAAGCCAATGTTTTGTATTGGATCCAGAAATATACTGATAGTCAATGTAGATGATGAAATATTGGCATAATATATGCATATCGGCCAGTCCCAGTGAGTAGTCTAGCCACTCTAATTTTGAACCAACTGAAGTTTCCAGACTATTTTTGAAAGTAGCCCCACATACAATGCATTGCAATAATCCAACCAAAAAGTTACCAGCGAGGCTCTGTTTGGAAAAGGTCACAGTTGATAAATGAGCCAAAGCTATTGAAAGGCACTCTGTTCAAGTGAGGCCACTTGGGCTTCTGACAATGATAGATCAAGAATCACCTCCAAACTGCAAATATGCTCCTTTAGGGTGAATGTGGATCTCTCCAGACCAGGCAGGGTACTGGACAGAATCACTATCAACAAATCTTGTCTTGCCTGGATTGAGTCTCAGTTTATTTACTCTCATCCACTCCTTTACCCTGTCCAAGCAATCACCTCTCCTAGATGAAAAGGAGAGGTAGTTAGGCATCTCCACATTATCTCAATCTCCTGGCCTCTCAATCTCAATGGATGAACTATTCTAATGGCTTCATGTAGATATTAAAAAGCTTAGCAGATAAAATGGAGCCCTGAGGGACTATATAGCCCAATTGTCATGATGCAGAATGGTAATCCCCCAGCACTAGTTGGACATTCAAGTAGGAGTGGGCCAACATAGTATAGTGCTACTACATCCCAGCTGATATAACCTGTCTAGGATACTAGTCAATAGTATTGAAAGCCACAGTTTTATAGCCATGCCTGAAATGAGATCAAAATCTATCTAAAAATCAGATCCACCCAAGAAAGCCTTAAGTTTCAAATCTCCTGAATTTGCAAGTAGACTTTATTTTTCTCATATGAGGCTGGGTGGAAATGTCCTTTTAAACTCCCCTATACTGCTTGAAACTAAAGCACAAAACCCCAATGCTTGAATTAATTCCAACAGTAGCACTACTGCAAGCTTCTTGCAATAGTCATAGTTCTTGTTCCTTGGCCTCTCAACTTTGGCAGCTAGATCCAGAATAGCAATAGCAATATATACCGCCCCCATGGTGCTTTATAGCACTCTCTGGGTGGTTTAGTGTCAACATATTGTCCCCAACAATCTGGGTCGTCATTTTACTAACCTTGGAAGGATAGAAGTCTGAGTCAACCTCTAGCCCATGAGGATCGAACTGCAGATTGTGGGCAGTTAGCCTGCAACAGAATGTGACAACTTGCCACGGCCAACTTGCCACAACCAACTCACCATGGGACAATTCACTGCAGCCAATTTGCCGCGGGACAATCAATCATTCAATTTAATTATTTAAAATAATTAAAACATTGTTTTAATTTTAGTCATTCACATTTCATTTTGTCCATCCTTTTGCACATTCTTTAATGATTCTGTTCCACCATTTCTTTGTAGTGTAACTCTTGTCCTGCGGTGAGTTGGCCATGGCGAGTTGGCTACGGAAAATTGGTCGTGACAAGTTGGCTGTGGCAAGTTGTCCTAGACCCGCCTGCAATGCTGCATTCTAACTTTTGTTGTGCCATGTGTTGCCAAGATCATGCCACAGCATAAAAGCCATTGATAGCAGGGATAAACTCTACTGAATACAAATTAAAAAGAGCTAGTCCAATGGCAAGATACAATTAGGTTGCCCAGATTGAATGAAACACTCAAAACTATACTGCTCAGAATTGCTACCTACCAAAGTTATGCAAATAGTTTATATTTAATTTTGCACTCTACTATAGTTGTTGAGATTATACAACAGTTGCTCTTAAAACTGTAGGGCATTAAATACTCACAAGAGCACCTCTTGTTTTAATTCTGCCAAGCCAATAAATTGCCCATAAAGTATAATTTATAGACTTTAATTATAAATAATTATGTTTTTTTAAAAAGCTATAAAGATCTGAATGCAGATTCTTCAATTATTCTACAACTCTGAAGCTATCTAAAAGTGGCTTATTTCACTGTTCAAGAAAGTAAACTTTTTATCTTTTTTGTTTCCTAACTTGTCCATATTCTAAAAGACTCCATGGGTCATTTTCTGCCTGTAGAGACTGGTATAATGACAGATACATTGCTGCATTATACCAGGTTCAACTAGTTCTATGTTTAAATTTCTATTGTGTACTGAAATTGGCACTGCCTGTCTTGGGTCATATCACTCCTATCTTAAGTACATATGCTGGACATTGAAGCTAGAAAACTTTTCCACCAGCTTTTTAGTACCCTTCTGTACTTTTCGAATATTTTCTATTAACCTCCAGGCTGTTTCTGTAATGTATATTTCAACTTCTCTTGAGTCACTGTTAAGATTAGGTTTTTCCCATAAAGTAATTGCTATACTTAGGCCAACATGAAATAGATTCTTCAAAATGTATCCTTCAGACGAAAAATAAAAAAAATGTCCCAGAGAGAAGAAATGAAAATAAACAAAACAGTTGCAAGGACCTAGATTATACTTTTTAAGAAACTACCCATCTTCAAGTTGTTGATTTTTTTTCCAGTTTTGGGGTAAGTTTTTTACCAGAGAAAAGTTTTGTGTTTGCAGAAGTGAACAAATATTGCTAAGAAACAGTTACAATGTTCAAAGAAAGCTGGACTAGTCTAAGAGAAAACTCATTTTGGAGTTTTCTAAATATTAGCATAATGTTCCTTTCAATTTTGCTCCATGCTGAAAAACATTTGATTTTTTCCTGAAGTTAACCGTGGTGATGTTCATGTAATCTACAAAGTATCAAAATTAAGACATATTAAAAATTTTCATAGGCATCATGTACAGATGGAAAATTATTTAATCATTTGGAAACTGTGTGGCGCTTCAGTCCAGGAGTTCCTGGCTATCAAAGGACATGCACCTTGGATTTTTCAGTAAGTATAACCCTCCCAAGCTATTGAGACCAAAGAAAAATGTATTTTTGAAACCATACCTGATTGCAGTATTGTCCTATATAGTAAGTATTTTAAATATGTATTTTATTGTGCGTAGTATAATAGGTCAGAAAGTGACAAGTCCAAAATCATTCAGTTCGATTTGTGCCTAAGGCAGGACTAGAATCCACGATCTCCCAGTTTCTGGCTTAGTACCTTAACCACTCTGCCAGACTGGCTTTGTATAGTTTGCTTTTAATTATGATTGCAAAATTACTTTTGCGAACCATAATTTTTTGTTGCAGCAATCCAACTTTAATGAATTTGTTTTTAAGCAATGAAGAATGCTCATTTCCAAGCAATTCGTAATGTGCATGGAATAAATTATTCCACTAGCAGTAGCAATTTCATTATTTCAATTCTCTTATAGCATTTCATTCAAATACAATTTTATTTTAAGTATTTTCAGGATTTTTTTTTCTGAATACAAGTAGTTCTCCAGCACTGGAGATGGAGGATCCACCCATGGGTAGTAGACTGTATTCCTGCCCAATCAGATTAAGTCAGCCAAAGTTGCCACGCCCGTCCTGGACCCAGATCCCAGTCTTGACTTAATCTTGCCCATGGACGGACGTGTAACTCTGGCTCTTAGGCAGGTATAGTCTTGGCTACTGGTGAATCCTCCACCTTCTTNTAATAGGCTCTGAAGATTGGTTTAAGGTTCTTTAATAGCTTTGGGGAATAAAAACAAAAACCATGTATAATAATGAGTTAAAATTATGACCCCAAGTGTTTGTTATACCGTTTAATCAACAGCAGAATATCTACTATTTAACAATTGTATCTTTCTATCAAGAGTTTTTATCTCAAGGAAGTCAAATGCAGTTTGCAAATGTTTTGACTAAAAGCTTATATTTTCTACTTTCCACCCAATATGTTTAATTTTTGGTATTAAAATACAGTTAAATAATTCTTAATATCCTTGTGTTATAAGGAAATAGTCAAGACTGAGAGGAGGTTGGTAAAGATTACCCAAAGAGTACTTTGGCTCTTTTCTTCTAAATCCGTTGGGACTAAGACTTGTGCAAAGGAAAAAGTATGAACGGTTTGTTGTTTTCAGAGCAATTAAATGCTGGAATGACAGGCAGGATTGTGTCCTTGAAGTACTGTACAACCTTGAGTGAGAAAGCTAGCTGAAATTCCATATTTGTTTATAGAATGATTGGAACAATATTTAAAGCAAAGGGAAGTAGAGAAATAAAATAGAATTTAGTTACATATCTCTAATAATTTTATTTTTCATTTTTCATGTTTACTAGGTATTCTATGCAAGAAATGTATGATGTGGTAGCTGTTGTAAGCGAATACAAGAACTTTGTTCCTTGGTGCAAAAAATCAGATGTATTATCCAAACGTTCAGGATACTGCAAAGCTAAATTAGAAGTAGGATTTCCTCCTGTGTTGGAAAGATATACATCTGTTGTTACACTAGTCAGACCTCACTTGGTTAAGGTAATGCATATTTTTTGTTATATGTAAACTGCCACACTTTTCAATATAGAATATAAGAAGTCCAAGAGTTGCCAGTAGTCAATAGGGGATCTTATCTAGCCATGTTTTGACCAAGAAATCTTGGGCTGGCTCTCCCTCTGATTACTCTTCTCCCTGTAAATCTCCTGGATATAACTTATTGCTTGGGAAGATGTTTGGATGTATGTAACTAGCACTAAACTGGAAGAGGGTGCAGAGGGAAATCTGTAGAAGCAGGACTGCTGTAAAGAGTAAGCAGTATATTTACTGAGTGTATATGTAGTTTATTTATTTATTTATTTAAATGTTCAAAATGCCCAGTAGTCTAAGCTGTCTGAGTGTTTTACACCAAAAAAAAGAGAAAGAATACAATTTGAATTACGATTATATCCAATAAAATCAAATAAAATACTAAATAAATACACCATATAATCCAGGTAGCAGTAAGGGGGTCATAATGGTCTAAAACAACATGAATTAATATATAAGTTAAAATACAATTAAAATATGTTTTAAAAGCCTGTGAAAATAAAATGGTCTTCACTTGTCACTGAAATAATGTGAATGTCAGATGGGCCTATCTGAGGAAACAGCCTAAGAAATTGCCATCCCTTGTAGAATCCCATATTTCCTCCCTTGGTGGGGGATCTGGAGGGCCTCAGAAAATCTTAAGGTCCAGTTTAGGTACATACTAGAGAAAGGTGCTCCTTCAGAGAATCAGATCCTAAGCCTTGAAGTCTTTAAAGGTTAAAGCCCATATTTTGTATTGGATCCAGAAATATACTGATAGTCAATGTAGATGATGAAATATTGGCATAATATATGCATATCGACCAGTCCCAGTGAGTAGTCTAGCCACTCTAATTTTGAACCAACTGAAGTTTCAAGACTATTTTTGAAAGTAGACCCACATACAGTGCATTGCAATAATCCAACCAAAAAGTTACCAGCGAGGCTCTGTTTGGAAAAGGTCACAGTTGATAAATCAGCCAAAGCTATTAAAAGGCACTCTGTTCAAGTGAGGCCACTTGGGCTTCTGACAATGATAGATCAAGAATCACCTCCAAACTGCAAATATGCTCCTTTAGGGTGAATGTGGATCTCTCCAGACCAGGCAGGGTACTGGACAGAATCACTATCAACAAATCTTGTCTTGCCTGGACTGAGTCTCAGTTTATTTACTCTCATCCACCTCTCCTAGATGAAATCACCTCTCCTAGATGAAAAGGAGAGGTAGAGTTAGGCATCTCCACATTATCTCAATCTCCTGGCCTCTCAATCTCAATGGATGACCTATTCTAATGGCTTCCTGTAGTTGTTAAAAAGCTTAGCAGATAAAATGGAGCCCTGAGGGACTATATAGCCCAATTGTCATGATGCAGAATGGTAATCCCCCAGCACTAGTTGGACATTCAAGTAGGAGTGGGCCAACATAGTATAGTGCTACTACATCCCAGCTGATGTAACCTGTCTAGGATACTATAGTCAATGGCATTGAAAGCCACGGTTTTATAGCTATGCCTGAAATGAGATCGAAATCTATCTAAAAATCAGATCCATCCAAGAAAGCCTTAAGTTTCAAAACTCCTGAATGTGCAAGTAGACTTTATTTTTCTCATATGAGGCTGGGTGGAAATGTCCTTTTAAACTCCCCTATACTGCTTGAAACTAAAGCACAAAACCCCAATGCTTGAATTAATTCCAACAGTAGCAAGCTTCTTGCAATAGTCATAGTTCTTGTTCCTTGGCCTCTCAACTTTGGCAGCTAGATCCAGAATAGCAATAGCAATATATACCGCCCCCATGGTGCTTTATAGCACTCTCTGGGTGGTTTAGTGTCAACATATTGCCCCCAACAATCTGGGTCGTCATTTTACTAACCTTGGAAGGATAGAAGTCTGAGTCAACCTCTAGCCCATGAGGATCGAACTGCAGATTGCGGGCAGTTAGCCTGCAACGGAATGTGACAACTTGCCACGGCCAACTTGCCACAACCAACTCACTATGGGACAATTCACTGCAGCCAATTTGCCGCGGGACAATCAATCATTCAATTTAATTATTTAAAATAATTAAAACATTGTTTTAATTTTAGTCATTCACATTTCATTTTGTCCATCCTTTTGCACCTTCTTTAATGATTCTGTTCCACCATTTCTTTGTAGTGTAACTCTTGTCCTGCGGTGAGTTGGCTACGGAAAATTGGTCATGACAAGTTGGCTGTGGCAAGTTGTCCTAGACCCACCTGCAATGCTGCATTCTTACTTTTGTTGTGCCATGTGTTGCCGAGATCACGCCACAGCATAAAAGCCATTGGTAGCAGGGATAAACTCTACTGAATACAAATTAAAAAGAGCTAGTCCAATGGCAAGATACAATTAGGTTGCCCAGATTGAATGAAACACTCAAAACTATACTGCTCAGAATTGCTACCTACCAAAGTTATGCAAATAGTTTATATTTAATTATGCACTCTACTATAGTTGTTGAGATTATACAACAGTTGCTCTTAAAACTGTAGGGCATTAAATACTCACAGGAGCACCTCTTGTTTTAATTCTGCCAAGCCAATAAATTGCCCATAAAGTATAATTTATAGACTTTAATTATAAATAATTGTTTTTTTAAAAAGCTATAAAGATCTGAATGCAGATTCTTCAATTATTCTACAACTCTGAAGCTATCTAAAAGTGGCTTATTACACTGTTCAAGAAAGTAAACTTTTTATCTTTTTTGTTTCCTAACTTGTCCATATTCTAAAAGACTCCATGGGTCATTTTCTGCCTGTAGAGACTGGTATAATGACAGATACATTGCTGCATTATACCAGGTTCAACTAGTTCTATGTTTAAATTTCTATTGTGTACTGAAATTGGCACTGCCTGTCTTGGGTCATATCACTCTTATCTTAAGTACATATGCTGGACATTGAAGCTAGAAAACTTTTCCACCAGCTTTTTAGTACCCTTCTGTACTTTTCGAATATTTTCTATTAACCTCCAGGCTGTTTCTGTAATGTATATTTCAACTTCTCTTGAGTCACTGTTAAGATTAGGTTTTTCCCATAAAGTAATTGCTATACTTAGGCCAACATGAAATAGATTCTTCAAAATGTATCCTTCAGACGAAAAATAAAAAAAATGTCCCAGAGAGAAGAAATGAAAATAAACAAAACAGTTGCAAGGACCTAGATTATACTTTTTAAGAAACTACCCATCTTCAAGTTGTTGATTTTTTTTCCAGTTTTGGGTTAAGTTTTTTACCAGAGAAAAGTTTTGTGTTTGCAGAAGTGAACAAATATTGCTAAGAAACAGTTACAATGTTCAAAGAAAGCTGGACTAGTCTAAGAGAAAACTCATTTTGGAGTTTTCTAAATATTAGCATAATGTTCCTTTCAATTTTGCTCCATGCTGAAAAACATTTGATTTTTTCCTGAAGTTAACTGTGGTGATGTTCATGTAATCTACAAAGTATCAAAATTAAGACATATTAAAAATTTTCATAGGCATCATGTACAGATGGAAAATTATTTAATCATCTGGAAACTGTGTGGCGCTTCAGTCCAGGAGTTCCTGGCTATCAAAGGACATGCACCTTGGATTTTTCAGTAAGTATAACCCTCCCAAGCTATTGAGACCAAAGAAAAATGTATTTTTGAAACCATACCTGATTGCAGTATTGTCCTATATAAGTATTTTAAATATGTATTTTATTGTGCGTAGTATAATAGGTCAGAAAGTGACAAGTCCAAAATCATTCAGTTCGATTTGTGCCTAAGGCAGGACTAGAATCCACGATCTCCCAGTTTCTGGCTTAGTACCTTAACCACTCTGCCAGACTGGCTTTGTATAGTTTGCTTTTAATTACGATTGCAAAATTACTTTTGCGAACCATAATTTTTTGTTGCAGCAATCCAACTTTAATGAATTTGTTTTTAAGCAATGAAGAATGCTCATTTCCAAGCAATTCGTAATGTGCATGGAATAAATTATTCCACTAGCAGTAGTAATTTCATTATTTCAATTCTCTTATAGCATTTCATTCAAATACAATTTTATTTTAAGTATTTTCAGGATTTTTTTTTCTGAATACAAGTAGTTCTCAGTTAACAATGATAACTGGGGCCATCGCTAAGTATGTTTGAAATAATATGGCTACACCACTTAGTGATGGCACTTTTGATTGCCATCATTAAGCAAATCCTGCACTATCATTAAGTGTTATGTCACATGGTTGTCATTTGCGACCTGCTGGCTTCCCCATTGATTTTGCTTGTTGGAAGTTAGCAGTGAAAGTTGCAAATGGCAATCAATATTGCAGGACACATTCAGGCCATCATAAATTCAAATGGTCACTGAATGAGTGGTCATTAAGCAAGGATAACTGTAGCTTTTTTATCTTTAATGATGTTGAACAGGAAATGGTCAGAAATGGCCAAATGATTGCCTATTATTGACAAAGGTTACTCTTTAGAATATAAAAGATAGTAAAATGCATCAGGACCAGTGTACTTATTTAGATATAATTTAGCCTTATTTGGAGATATATTTTTTGCTTAGGTATTTTTAACTGTGTATTTTTAACTGTGCACTTTGTATTCTAAAGAGAAAAATGTCCTTAGAAATGACCATATATAGGCCTGCACATGATACCTGTTGGCACTTCCTTAAATTAAATGGTATCTAGGATTGGACTGCAAGACAGGTGTGCAATCCTAGAAGACACAGCTGCTTTCAGTTAGACAGCTTTGGACTGCCCACAGGACCACAAAGCACTTTGAATTGGAAATAATACATAGAACATAGCAAACCTAGAATGATGGTTTTGTGGGAGAAGGGATAGACAAAAGATTAAAAAGTTAACTAAGAAAGTATTGTATTGTGTGTGGAGCATTATGTAACTGGGAAGTAAACCAATTAATGTCACATACTTCGTTGTAAATCCTATGGTACTGATTTTGTCCATATATTGTTGAGTACTACCACACAACGTGAATGGCAATTAAGGTTAATGAAGAAGTGATTCATGGCTAAAAAACCGGAATCTATAAATATTAGATTGAAACTGCAGCAGAAAATGAATATCCAGATTTTCTTATGATCTTGCAACTAGCCACTATTCCCCAATATCGGTAGATTATAATATAAAGAGTGCCTACCCTTCTTAATCATTAAGGGTGACTGATAATTTATTTTCCTTTACAGATTTCTTTTGAGTTTCGCTCCCTTCTGCATTCTCAGCTTGCCACATTGTTCTTTGATGAAGTTGTTAAGCAGATGGTAGCTGCATTCGAAAGAAGAGCAGCCAAGCTGTATGGTCCAGAAACTAGAATACCTCGAGAATTAATGCTTCATGAAGTGCATCATACATAAAGTAGTTTTGAAATTTCTTGGACACCATCTTTACATATGAGATGTTTTTCTCATGTGGGCTTCCAATTATATGGGGCATTTTTTGCCAATTATGTATATTACTACTGTATAAAACATTCATGTAAGATGCAGGTGTATATAGAAGCTTCAGTAAAGTGCAATTCTAAGGTGCTGGTAAGTTCATTGAGTGGCAGCTACATTTACAATGGCTTCCCTCATCTTTTCAGCATGTATAAAACTCAGCAGTTACCAGTTCTATAGCCTTATTTTGACAATGTTTAATATTTACTATTGAAATCAAGTTTAAGTTATTATTTTAAATGCATATTTAAGTTATTTTTAGTATTCAAAACTAGCTTTAACTAGCAGTGTGCAGTTCTGAAAACAAAGGTTTTTGTAGTGCATAAACTTTGGTAGCAAACTTAATATACAGTATTTTAATAAGTTGTATGAATCCTACAGAAAGGGCTCATATTCATCAGTACATTATTTAATATGGTACTGTAGTAAACTGTTGCAAGATTCCAACAGGCGACTACCTATACTGGGGTTCTGTATGAATAATCATGAACTCTAGCTTTAAAAATGTTCCAGTTAATGACAAACCATAGCGCCTAGGGGTTTATGGCTTTCTTCCACCAGCAGAACTGACAGTGCTAACAAAGCACATTCCCCACCTTCCTTCATAGTTCTCTCCATCTGCCTTAGAAAGTTGGAAAACAAATTAGGAATAAACGGGAAAAAGGATACTACTGTTTGCCGAAGCTGGCTTCAGTAACTTTGGCATTAACTATATGTAAATATAGTTTAAGTTAAAACAGTGTATTTGAATTTCACACCTTTATAATTTTATATATTGCTGCACTCACCACTTGTAATAGTTTGATGATTCTTGCTTGATTCATAAACATACTATCTCCTAGGACTTCTTTTTTATACTATGCACTCCTCATTTTTTATTTTCATAAATGTGAGGGTACTGTAATCTGGTCAGCTGTATTCCTTACTACAGACTGCTTCACAATGGTCATAAGTCTCAGCATCAAGTTAGCTCTGGAGCCTTAATCATGAAAAATGGTTACTCAGGCAAGAAGTTTGTAGATTAAATTGAAGTACAGCTGGATTCTAAACTGCTTCAGTGCAGTTCTAATTTCAGCCACGAAAATGTTATTAAATTTTTTTTGTACTAGGAAGGCAGCTCAATCATCCTGCTTTCTATTTTCATGTATTAAAAGAAACTTGAGAACAATTTTATATGAAAGTTAACTTTTGAGGAATAACTTTTCTTTCCTTGAGAAATAAGACTTTTAATAATTAGTTATTGCTAGTTGGCTCTGAAAACAAAAAAAATGTCTTGAAAAACTTAATACTTGCAATGAACAGATTATGTTGTGAATAAGTTAATACATACCATACCTTAGAGCAATTGTTTTATTACATAAAGTTGTCACATAATTGTATATTTGTCTACTTTGTACACAATTTTATTCAGTCTTGCACACAATGGCTTCTGCATTTTTTAGTGGCAGCAGGCACCAATAAAGTCTTATTTAGCAGAATTGCAAGTGCTTCAACTGGTTTTAAGTTTAGAGCACAAGATTGGTACATGGATCTGCACCCAGTATCAGGAATGTACAAATGTCTTTATTCAAAGTACAAAATAAATTATCTGTAAGCATGGACAATGACTGTTTAAACAATCATACAACTGAAATCCAGTAACTGAATGTTACAGTGATTTTTTTTTCTTTTTTTAAACACAGACCCTTTCTCTGCAGTCACTATCCATCCTTTCCGACTCTGACCCAAGGTTCGCTTAAACTATCAGGTCATGCATTGTAGTTCATGATACGCATCCATGTAGCCTAGGCTTTAGAACATACCACCTCCCATTCCTCCACCCATTCCTCCCATAGCAGCAGCAGCATCCTTCTCTTCCTTGGGGATTTCAGTTACAACTGCTTCAGCTGTAGATAAAAGGGAAGCTACTCCTGCAGCATCCATCAGCGCTGTTCTCACAACCTATGAATGGATTAAGAGTATTTGGTAAAAAGATTGAAATACTAGCTAAGAGCGCTATCACAATCATTAGAAAATTCGGTTATTTACCTTTGTTGGGTCAATAATGCCTTTTTCTATCATATTCACGAAGTCACCAAGCATTGCATCATAACCAACATCAGGTGGGCTTTGCATGATTTTCTCCACTATCAGTGATCCTTCAACCCCTGCATTCTTGGCAATAGTCATAGCTGGAATTTTCAGTGTTCTTCTTATAATCTCTATGCCTATAAAAGGAATGACCTCTGGTTATTACAAAAACAGAACTACACTAATTTCACTGATGATGAAGATGGAACCAACACTGAGCATTTTTCATGTATATATTGCCTATCTGTAAAATTTCCAGTCTGAATCTGGAGGTTAATTTCGTGAAGTCTTTTCATCTATTTTCCAGCTCTCAATAAGCTCTGGATAGTGGGGAGTCAATTTCTGAAGATAAGATAGCTACACTGGGGAGAAGAGAGCACACTACAGGAAATTTGGAAGTCACTTAAAATCTAAGTGTCCAAGTAAATGTTATTAACTTACCAGTTTTCTGATCTTCATTGGCTGGAATCAAAGCATCTAGTGCTGGAATACAACGGAGCAATGCACAGCCACCACCCAGGACTATGCCTTCTTCTACAGCAGCACGAGTGGCATTCAAGGCATCAGTGACTCTGTCTTTCTTCTCATTAACTTCAACATCACTTGTTCCTCCAACCTAAGAGAAATCCCTAGTTGTCATGTTCTTACAGGTAGTTCCTGATATACAACTGTAATGGAGTCTGCCCATTATGGTTTGTTAAATTGGTCAAAGTGGTCAGTCATCTGACTAATACAATTTTACATTTTTTGTGGTGACCATTAAGCCAACCAAGGGTTTATTATGGTGTGGTTTTGCTGAAAATGAGAAGTGCCTGTTTTCAGCAAAAACAGTTGCTGTTCAGTATGACAGTTATGCAACTGCAGGATGCTGCGAGTGGCCATAAATGTAGCCCTGTTACCAAGTACCCAAGGTCCAATCGCATGACCATGAAGGAGGCCTGACTTCGAATCTGAGTCATAAGGCTGGTTGTAACAGGTTGCTAAATGACTGCTCTTAAGTTGAAAACTACCTGTACTTAGAAATTATCTGCAAAATTCTGTAATCTGAAGGACTCTGGAAAAGGCAATTTCTCTTGTATGATTGGAATGCTGCTGTTCAAGAAATGTTACGGCTCCCTTTGACATAAAAAACTAATCTTATTAGTTTTCAGTTCTGTGGTAGGGTTAAGTATCTTACTATCTTTACCACTGAAGAAATTCCATCTTCTCCAGTTTAAGAGATGCCTCAGGCCATAAATGAATATCATTTTGAGTTCAACAAACCATTGCTGTCATGAGGAAACTATTAGTCTTCCTGTATTTTGTTATATTTTCACAAAACGTAGTTTGTTTAACACTATATTCACAGCCACTTTTAATAAATTCTTAAACCGACTTAAGTCCAATCCAGTGTCTTCTGGATATGATAGATTACTATTCCTATCTTAACCAGATAAGTTATCTTTCAGGTTATAGTTAATATCTCATGGAGACTAGACTCTAATGTTAATCAAATCCCAAGATGTTGAAGCCATTTATACTACCTTTTATTGAGTTAGTAAATTTGTATGCTGCCCAGCTAAGAAAACATTAAGTAGGGCAACTCAACATAAAAAGATGAAATTACACTAACTTGGTTTTACCCAGACAGAAAACCCAGTGTACCTACCTTTAGTAAAGCTACTCCATCAGAAAGCTTAGCCAAGCGCTCGTTTAGCTTCTCTTTTTCATATTCACTTGTGGTGGTTTCCAGTTGTTCAATTATTTCTTGAATCCGTTTTTCAATCTGAGCCTTATCACCTTTTCCTTTAAGCAATAAGCAGTCATCTTTGGTTACAATGACTTCTCCAACTTTGCCAAAGTCATGAGGCTGAACATCTTCCAGATTTATAGTTAAACCTTCCTCTCCTAATACCTGAAATAGGTTATGTTGAACAAAGTTCTTTGTTACCAGTTGCAATTTTACAAATTTTTAATAGTCATTATTTAAAAAAAACCCCTTTTTTTGCTTCATTAAGATTTCCTATGTACTATCAAAAATTTATCCTGAATTAAAAAGACCGACTAAATGTCATACGAAATAATCATTTACAGCCCAGGCACTTTAACAGTGCAAATTTTTCAATCTGTATAGACAGTTTCATGCCTGCCCATTTAAGAACCCGTGCAGGCGTCATTGTTATCAGTTCAGTGAGTTGCAGCAGAGCACACACTTCACAAAATGGAAAGCCATTTGCTTCCAATGTAGATAGTTGGATTTTGTTTGTTTGGGGTTTGTTTGCTTTTTGGTGCTTTCAAGTCAGTGTTGACTCCTGGCGACTGATTGAACAAGTCCCTGCAGTTTTCTGGCAAGATTTCTAGAAATAATTTGCCCTCACTCTCTTCCTGGGACTGAGAGTTAGTGACTGGCCCAAAGTCATCCAGTTCGCTTGCCTAAGGCAGAACTGGAACTCCTAGTCTTCTGATTTCTACCTTGGTGCTTTTAACCTCCACACCAAACTGGTTCTCTATGACAGCCGTCCCCAACCTTTTGAGCACCGGGAACCAATTTCGTGGAGAGAGGTTTTTCTGCGGACCGGAGGGGGAGTGGTTTCATGTACTGCCTACATCCTGCAGATGGGGTTTTGCTTGTTTGTGCGGACCCGTTTCTGGCATGCTGCGCCCCGTTACCGGTCCACGGACCGGGGGTTGGGGACCCCTGCTCTATGAGATAGCTGAAGTTAAAATGGCAGGGCATGTTATATCACTGCAAGAATGCAAAACTGGGCACCCATGGTCTAAATCACAAAGCTCTCTGCAAGTACAGTAGTCTTTGACTTATGACTACAACTGAGCTCAACATTTTCATTGCTAAACAAGGCAGTTAAGTGAGTTTTGCTCCATTTTGTGACCTTTCTTGTCACAGTTAAGTGAATTACTGCAGCTGTTAAGTTAGTAACGTGGTAAGTGAATCTGGCTTTCCCAATAACTTTGATTGTCAGAGGGTTGCAAAAGATGATCACATGACCCAAGGACACAATAACTGTCATAAATACATGCCAATGCCAAGTGTCCAAATTTTGATCACGTGGCCACGGGCATGCTGCAACCGTTGTAAGTATGAAAAGCGGCCATAAGTAACTTTTTCCAGTACTGTTGTAACTTTAAACAATCACTGAATGAATGGTTAAGTTGAAGACCACTTTTACTATATTCACATCTCTGGTCTGCTTTGACATAAAACACCTTCCTCCATTCTCCTTTGATATAAATAAGGATCAAATATTACAATAAATCAAGTATATAATTAGGTTAGGATCCTACAGCTCTAGATATAATACTAATACAGATTTATCAACTGTGCGTTCATGATGTCAATTTTCTGTGGATTAAGAACTTTTCATTTCTTTTTAGGGTTTACTTACAGCACCACCAGTAGCAATTGCCATATCTTTAAGTTGATTTTTTCTATTGTCACCAAAACCAGGTGCTTTTACTGCAACCACCTGCAGGCCAACTTTCAATCTGAGAAAAAAAATTCAGTAAGCAATCTGCACTTTAAGTCTAAAATCTTTTTTAACACTTCTTTGTCCAAAATACTTCATTGTACAATTCTAAATAGATATTATTTTAATATGACAATTTAACTAAAGTGATTGGCCATTATTTACAGACCACAATAACCTCTGATATAAACTACACTCCTGGTTTCCAGTAAAGATTCAGTCCCCCCCCCCCAGTAATCTCTTTAGGTCAGCACTTAACCTTTTTGTCCCATGGACACAAGTCTGAGGAAACCTATAGACCCTTTCTCAAAATGTATTTAAAATAAAATACATATAGTTAGTATTACCAATTATTCTGAAACACCTTTATCAAAATATTTAAAATAACTAGAATATAACAAAGTAATCAAATGTGCTTTAATTTATATCAATCACAAAACTATTCTTTTTTAGGATATAATAATTTGTGAATTTTATTGAAGTTAATCTTGGGAATTTTAAAGGCATAGGTTACTTTGGCTACATAAATCATTTATTTACTTGTACCCAGTTTGATTATTTTTATAAATAATTTGAAGGTGGCAAACATATTCCCCCTTCTACCTCATCTTATTTTTCCCACAACAATCCCATGAGGTGAGTTGGGCTGAAATAGTTTAATGAATAGCTAAACTTAAGGTAGAAACTGGTGAAGCTAAAGTTGTAATTTTCCCACATTTGCAGGCCCAGGTTAAAACCTCTCCTTTAAATGAATAAAATTTTTGATTAACTCCAGATTTCCTTAAGTTTGCAGCATCAGTCGCAATAGCAAACTAGTTAATCTTTCACATTTTTGTTTGATAATATCAAAATCAGAACTACTATACATTTTTACAGCTGCTATTAAGAAGTTACCAAACTATCTTGTAAAATAGGTACATAATTGTTTCATAATTTACTCTCAA